CGTTTAAAGTATTAATGCATTGCGAAAACAAATATTTCATCAATGCAATTCAAGTCAGATATTCTTATGAATATCCGTTTTATATTGGATACAAATTTTATTAAGTCTGATACAGACATTTCGTAGTCAAAGTGTTTCAACTGAGGTACTATACAGAGGCGTCAAAAGGCGTCATTATGGAGTAAAGGGGGTGGCGTCAAAAGGCGTCATTATGGAGGAAAGGGTTAAAAAAAAAGACCAAAACTCAAAAACTTAACTTTGACCACTGAACCATGAAAATGAGGTCAAGGTCAGATGACACCTGCCAGCTAGACATGTACACCTTACAATCATTCCATACACCAAATATAGTAGACCTATTGCATACAGTATTAGAAAAACAGACCAAAACACAAAAACTTAACTATAACCACTGAACCATGAGAATGAGGTCAAGGTCAGATGACACCTGCCAGTTGGACATGTACACCTTACAGTCCTTCCATACACCGAATATACTAGACCTATTACTTATAGTATAGATCTAAGATATAGACTTGAAAACTCAACCTTGTTCACTGATCCATGAAATGAGATCGAGGTCAAGTGAAAACTGTCTGACGGGCATGAGGACCTTGCAAGGTACACATATACCAAATATAGTTATCTTATTACTTATAATAAGAGAGAATTTAACATTAAAAAAATCTTAACTTTTTTTTCAAGTAGTCACTGAACCATGAAAATGAGGTCAAGGACATTGGACATGTGACTGACGAAAACTTCGTAACATGAGGCATCCATATACAAAGTATGAAGCATCCAGATCTTCCAGATCTTCCAGCTTCTAAAATATAAAGCTTTTAAGAAGTTAGCTAACGCCGACGCCGACGCCGCCGCCGGATCACTATCCCTATGTCGAGCTTTCTGTGACAAAAGTCGCAGGCTCGACAAAAATCCATTTTTGTCTCGCCTTGACGGAGTAAAAAAGCGAAACATAGGTATAGTGTTTGCGGCGTCGGCGGCGGCGGCGGCGGCGTCAACAATTTTTATTTTGCGATTAGGTCTAGTTTATGGTGAACCACAAGTGGTAGGTCATTCATATTTGGTATGCAGTTGTAATAGCATTGGCACATCTCATTTCCATGGAGATTATTTGGCCCTGCTCCCTCAGTCATGGTCTATTGACTTTGAAACTTTTGCTTAGCTTACATGTATTAGTTTGTGATTAGGCCACACCAATTTGATTAATAGTTCTTTGGATTTTTCCCGCTCCTGTTTTGGAGAAATTGACTTCAATAAAAAAAATAAGTTACCGCTTCCGCCAATTTTTGGGCCGCATGCCGCTCCAAAATTAGTTTATCCTTGACATTTTTTTTCTCATAGACGTTTTTCTTGTGCATATATTGCGCCGATCGATTCAAACGCACGTGTGATAAATCGATTTGTAAATAAAAGGTCATCAGAGTAATCTCAGACTACAACAGACATAAATAGAGCTATCTGTCTTCGATGAAATTAATATTAAATGCACCTGATTTTTTAAAAAATGACAGATTAACAGATTAATCCTATTTTGATGAAAACCCCATATCCCCTCGTTAGTTTATTGACATGCAATCAGAACTCTTTTGTAAGGGCAAAATTTAAAAGTTCCAACGTTCGAGACCGAAGTGGTGTTATTGAGATTGGCATGCTAATAATAATTAGGGATGTATTATTGGTGCAATTACTTCCAGTTTGAAATACATTGCAGGTTTCAGGGGCAAAAGGAAAATGTACTTTGCCAAGTCAGAATAATGCATGTGAATGTGGTTAAAGAACTTAAGGTATTTTAAGGGAATGTTTCATTACACTGAGATCTACATGCATAGCAATATAACTATTTTACTCAGGATTTTGTTGAAATATTCACCTCACTCATTATGTTGATCCTATTATGGATAAATAGTTCCAACTAAATGTCAAGCAGCCAATAAACAATCAGTACCATATAACGAAAACAACTATACCAAAGAAATTTAATATTGTTCAAGGGCATTTTTTGGAATATATACACATATTTTAATTGTATTACACACAATATATTTACCTAACTAACATAATTCCTCTTGCTAAACTTCATCCGCTATGCTTCCTTAATATATACACATGTATGAATTTAAATGAAAATTCACGCAGTCAAAGCTTATTTGACGAAAATAATCAAAATAATCCTAAACCAAAGTGAACCAGAAAGTTGGGTACGGTACAGACTGTACTACAGGCACAAATATATCATATCATATGCATATGAGCATGTTTCTCCTCCTTTTCTTTGAATTTAAACCCAGTTTTAATATGTACATAAAATTCTAAATTGCACAATTTAAAAAAAAAATTATACCGCTCGCTCCACTTGTAGAGTACCCGCCTCAACAAAACTCATTTTCAAGAAATATATACAATCAAAAAAATTTCGCTCGCTCGCCCCATATTTTTTGGAGCTTTTGTCCGAAGAACTAAAAATCAAATTGGTGTGGCTTTACTATGTTTTGGGGAAAGTTAAGTTTAGGGGTCGCCCCGGGTGTGCCTATTGAAACAGGCATATCTTCAATACGGAACAGTTATGAATAAAAGGATATGCAGGGGGTATGTATCAATGAGACAGCAAGCAAACAACAAAACCCCAAATAGACATCTAGAAGACACTTTTGGTACTAACACATTGTGTAATGTCCTAAATAAGTTTTTCCTCAGTCTGGTTAAAATGAAGATCTGTCGTAATTCGCGTACTCTTGTTTATGAAAATAATGAAACCAGAGATGTATATTTTAAGTTAATTGGTTTTTCATTTAGCAAATGTTGTTGTCTTCTTTTTGATCTTACAAGAAAGGGGAATATATTATATATATACTCATATATATAATACAGATAACTTTCACTTTGTATTTTGATTGATTGTGGCTTGTTAAACATCTAGTTTGCAACATAATATTTCATAAAAGATTTTTATTTCAAATTTCTTTCGTTCAAATGGGTCATTTAGAATTATATATTTTTGAACAATGGTTACAGTGTGAATGTGCTTTAATTTTTCACTAATAGATATAGAAAAGAAGAGGAATTAGTATATGTATAAACACCCCCCCCCCCCCCCCCCCTCCCTCTGTGATAGTTGCTTACAACTTGTCTTTACTAGGGCTATTTATAGTTTGATATATCGTCATGATGTTTGGTTATTGTACAAAAAAAATATCAGGTTGAAGGCCGTACGGTGACCTATAGTTGCTAACTTCTACGCCAATCGGTCTCTGGTGGAGAGTTGTCTCGTTGGTAATCATACCACTTCTTCTAATTTTTATAATAATTAAGTCTGCAAGACGCCCGTTTCGTCTCTCTCAAATGAAAAAAATGGAAACCAAAATAGTAACGAAATTGAAGAGCATTAAAAAGAAAAAAAATAACAAAAAGCAAATCAAATTCAAAACATAAATATGCAGACTATACTGATTAGTTACTAGTATTTTTTAATTTACTCAAATCATAGAGATGCAAACTACTAGTATATCATATTTTGCAAATTCATTTTTTATCTACATTTGAACTCATTGTATCTTTGATTCAAACTGGGTTTATTTTCTTTGTCATAATTCAGCCTTCTCTGATAAAAAAAAACTCTGAATTCTACGGTTAGATTTTATTCTGATGTGCTGATGTTTGTCTAAAGAAGAACAAAAAAGTCAATTATGACTTAAATATCTATATTTTGGCCTACACGTATATATTTTTAGAAATTCTGAAGATGTCCTGACATTGAATTTTTGTCGATAATATTTTTATTTTGTGTACATTTCAAAATTCGAAATGAAAATCTTGGTATATTTTAACAACAAAACCTCTTTAGAACCAGTTTGACAAATTAAAAAAAATATATATGTTAAGTCAGTCTCTGTGACCAGTAATTAAGATTTGGAATTTAAGATTATTCAAAAATATAAAAAATATGATGTGGTATGATTGCCAATGAGACAACCATCCTATAGAGACCAAATGACATATAGAAGTATATATATATTAATTCAAAAACCATGTTTTTGTCAAGCTTATTCGTGCCAAGAATAAATATTAAATATGTCTCTTAAAATTGTGTTGGTTATTATTTTATAAGCTTTATTAATTTATTCTTGATAAGCATTTTTCAGCCATCAACTAAATGAAGACGACGGTGAGTGCCCGACAGTAATCGACGACGTAATATTTGACGTCATTTAGATGAATTTCGCTGACGTCACGAAGCGCCAAACCCTTAGTACAAAACTTGTCAATATTCTTAATTTTTTAAACATTTATACCGAAAAATATTCAAATGCAAATATCGAATCTGTTGTTAATAAAATCAAAATCCAGCCTGGGAATAAATTAATTCACAGATTATAAGAAGTAAAATCCAATAAAGAAAATGAATTTAGGTAAATGGAGAAATGTAACAATATTTTTCAAAACATTGACCGTCTTTTTGATGTATTGCCCGGATAGATCTGCATGAAAATATATATAAAATGTTTGCGGAGAACACGGTTTTAAAATGAGTACATACTTAAAAGTTCTGTCTGCTATTTACAGAGTTCTACTCTTAGTATTATATTTCATAACAAGGTGAAATGGACATATATGTCCTCTTGGGACTCTGCCGGTGGAGGACATATATGTCCGCTTGGGACTTAGAGGGTTAAGACCTCATGTTCCTTGTTATTATGTATATATGCAACCCGACTTTAAATAAAGATTACTTACTTACTTACTTACAATAGTATAAAAAGAGTGTGAATAAGTTAACCGATATAACCACCAGAAAAATCTTCCACCAACAACAACTTTTTATTTGTATGGCCTGGGACTATTATACAAATATAATTATTATGTCCAAGGTGTGGCCAAAGACGTATAACTAACATCTATTATACGTCCTTGGTATCGCGAAATGATATCATTAGACTTTGGTTAATATTTCTTAAACTAGTTTCATATTATTTCCATACCTTTCCATCCTATATTTTTTTTAAGTATGTTTCCTATATTTTTTTGTAGCATCATTTCTCGACTGTTAATTTCTTCTTTTATCTCTTTCTCGATTTTCAGGATAGTTTGGGAAAGTTTGCAAGCAGACGACAACATAATACATCCGAATATCAAAACAGTAGCACAGTATAGCATTTTAGCAAATTTCATACTGTTGTAAACAATCAACAGATAACCATTTGAGCTGCAAATAAAAAAAAGGAAACACTGAATAGAATAATATCACGCAAAATATCAATTAAATAGCTATGTGTGTGTTACGCAACTGATTCGAACGATCCTAAGTATATAGTACAAACATTTACTTCAATACCTGTTATTGATAATTCAAAGCGAGGAGACTAAATATATATTTTTTTAATTCCCTCTCCATTTATCTAGAAAATAAAATACCATAGAGCATACAAGTCTGCCTTCTTACCTTGTCGTTCGCCTAGACAGTCGGAAAGCAAGCCCTTAGAAACGACCGCTGTTGCTACTTTCTAAAATCAACAATGATACTAGAACCCGCCATTCTGAAGTTGCGTTAATGCATTTCGCGGAAAAAATTAAATTGGCAGCATTTTGGAAAAATCAGAAATAATGTGATGTCTTTTTTATCTCTTAACCATGTGTCTTATTATAAAAGAAAATATAAATCAAATTGGTCGTCCAAACAGTCGGGAAGCTGACCCCGGTTTGACCCCATTTCTTAAAGCAACAATGGAAGTCATGTGACTACCATATTTGGGCATTTTTTGGGTCATTTTTTCTTCAACTGAAACGACTGTTTCCTCAAAAAAGTCATATCAAATGAAACCAAAGCATGCTGTACGTTACAAATGCAAATTGTGTATACTTTTTAGAAGTTCTCACATAAAAATTGTTTTGATTAAGCGTACTGAAAAGGTCGTCACTCGTCGAGTTAAGTTTTTCAACACATCAGTTGAAATTTCTTTATTAACTTCTGGGGAACCTATGCTGAATTTAAAATATGCGATAAGGCTTTTTATAAACTGGCCCGTGTCAAATTTGTGCCACTTAATACGCTGTAATACGCAAATGTGCCACTTCGATGTGTCGATATTTCTGACGAAGCGGTGCCGATAGTAATTTACGAGTTACGTCCCTTTGTTGACACTTTTCATTTACAAACTTATAGATACTATCAAGCACCATATGCTGTTATTTTCAAGTGGATGTTATTAAAATAATTTATTATCTTTTTACTAAATAGATTTTGATTTTAAAGACATATGTAAAACAATTAGGTAAACACATTTTATCATTTTTACAACAATTTCAGGTTACTCTGTGCCATAATATATTATTCCAAGAGTAACTTTAATATTTATATTTTAGTAAATATTTTTACTGCTTTAACCAAATTATATAAACACAGAACTAATTTCTACTACATAAAGACAAGGGGTAGCCAAAATATGCTTGAATACTTGACCTAGGCAGGGTTAAAATGATCACAAACAGGAATTCCTTTTCAATATACTGATACCTGATCCTACCTTTTTCCTATAGGATATACATTTAAAAGAGATAATAATCAAAGTATTCCCAATGTAAATTCTTCATAATTTGAAATAAAAGGAAATTGGTTTGCAATTCTTGTATGATTAAACTAATTTAAATATAACAATAAATTTTGTCTCATTGATTCCATGCAAGTTCTACTGAATGGACTCAAATTATAAAAAAGCCTAAACCAATGGATTTAAATGGTTTATAATCATGAACTCGCGAATAAATAAGAACGAGAAAGATTCGATTTCATATTTCCCTTCTTCTATTTAAACAAAATAAATAACTTTGGCTATGCATATTAAAAATACTTCAAAGCAGTTTCTGAGTGCTAAGTCAACAATATTATATTTTAGATCACAAGTCATGAGTAAGTCACACTTCATGTCAGTATGAAAATGCTTTGAATAAGAGTGATTAAAATGCAAGTCTGAAAGAGATTGTTTAAAGTTCAAAGGACAACTCAGAATGAGTTTTTTTAGTCATCTTAAGGTGGTGCACAGACAGTATAAAATGTCCTTACCTTATACACCTTATCGCTATTCCCGCTTGACCCGAGAATCTGTCCCGATTGAACTTTTGACGTCATACAACAATCACTTTTCCATTGTGGCGTCAGATATTTTCTATTATGACGTCAAAATTTTACGGGAACTTTTGTGATGTCCAGTAATGGCGGAAAAATAGCGATAAGGTGTATTGTTTTAGTTAACATCAAACACTTTACTAAAGAGAATAATTAATCCAGTCAAATTTACAGTTGAACTCGCCATTGCCTTTTTAAACAAACACACTAAATGACACTAAATGTGTGTACACTCGTCTGTTCAGATGCATGTTGACATCGATGTGTAAAACCAAAAAACTACAATGTCAAAAAATGTCTTTCTTTAGGAAATTAGTTCAAACGGGTTTTCTTAGATTCTCCTAAGGGGTAACAGAACATTAGACTTGATTTTTTTTTAACTTTGAGATACGTATTATTAATTAAACGGTCGTTTCTAAGGACTTGCTTTCCGACTGCAAAGGACGTATATATATATTAGTCTATAATAGATATTAGATATGTACAATGAAAACATAAAAGTCTTGTCCTTTGACCTTTAAGGTGGCTCGGCCCTTTAACAGTGCGCATATTTTAACGCATGTTTCTAACGACGAGCGCCTTGGAAACGGTCGCTTTGAGGGGTTTTCTCAAAAATAGTTTTGACGACATTGGAAAACGGGCGTGTATGAATAAGAATATAAGAATAAGAATTTTATTAGTTTAAAATCCAAACAATAGGATTGTATTAAATAAACAAACCAATACAAAACAAAAACAAAACAAACAAACAGACAGACAGACAGGCATATTAATGACAAAACGATAGACATTAAACAATACAAACATGTAGCATTGAAAAAAAAATAAAGATTATTAATCTTAAGTATTATACTATTTTTGACAGCATGCCTCCTCTATAAAATTATCAATTCAAATATTATGATTATATATAACATTATAAGTTAAGCCACCAATCACACACAGTTCATATATTGACATTATAATTGTTTCTCTCATTATACATTTCACTTATATTGTTAACAATGATAAGTAAAATATCACATTCTTCACAAGAAAATATAAAATCAAATTTGTTTTCTTTACTCATTGAATTAAAACTGGGGACAATACTAGAAATTTCATTAAACATTTTGATCCTAGTTTTATTAATTTCTGTACATGTTATGATAAAATGGTATTCATCTTCCACCTCTTTATGGCATAAAGTACATATTCTATTTTCCAAGGCTATTTTGTTGTATCTACCGCGTTCAACAGCCAGCATACTATTACTCATTCTTATTTTGGCATAATTTTTTGTAACATTTTTATCTAAATTCAATAAAAGGTACTTTTCTAGTTCATACTTTACTTTAAATTTTCTGTAGGTTCTTAGTTTATTTCCATTTATTGAATTATCATCATTAAAGAGACAATTTTTCCAAAATATAATGTACTTTTCATTGAGCTTCTTCATGAAGGCTTAAAGTAATCGTTTTTTAGAAAAGGTACATTGATTTTCCCAAACATGAGTGAAATTCAATTTTGATAGTAGCATTTTAATTTTTGAAGCAAATCCATCATTTAACTGCTTGTTAACTTTATAAACACTATATAATAAAGACTCATTTTCATTTGAATTTAAAATATGTAACCAAAATCCTACAGAAGACTGAAGGGCCTGTATACCAATAGGGTACATTCCCAATTCAGCTATTACAGCTGTATTTACTGCCTTTGAATTAACATTAAGAAAACTTTTCGCAAATTTGGTCTGGAGTTTTACTGATTCCATTGATAAGTATTGAGATTCAAGAGTTTTGTTGTTCTTCACAATATTTAGTGACCATATCTCACTACAATACAGTAATATTGGACTAACACAAGAATTAAAAAGTTTCATATAAAAAGAAAATAAGGTAGGGCTTAAAATGCAGCCTTGTTTTACTCCAACTGTGGAAGGAAACATCTTAGTAATGCCTTCAGTGACTTTAACTGCAAATAAAACTTCTTTGTACATATCTTTTAGAATATTGAGGAATGGTCCATTTATGTTATATTCAGCAAGTTTGTGTAACAGGGCCACTCTATTTATAGTGTCAAAAGCTTTTTTAAAATCAATAAAACAAGCATATATTCTTTTGTTTGATTTAAAAGCTTTATCAATAATAGTTTTTAAAGTTAGAATGTGATCACTAGTTCTGCATCCTTTTTTGAATCCAATCTGTTCACAAAGAAAAAAAGGTGCTTTCTTTGACAGCCGCGTTAATGTTTAAAAAAAGAATATTTCTTTCAAAACCAGGAAGAAAATTCATATCACAGATTTTTTTCAGCTCAGCTTTCAAAGTCGTATTTTGAAATGGTTATCAGTGTTTTTGTTTGTATGGTAAATAGGTTTTGTGAGGTAAGTGTCCCGTCTAGTTTTAAGATATTTTTTTGCTTTGCTTTTATTAGAAAATGTGGCTGTAGGTGGGTTTTTCTTTTGGCAAAGCTGGGTCTGTTTTTGATATTGTTGAAGAATGATGAAATCATAAAAAAACAGACAAATTCATTAGGACTCTTGACGGCGGCATTTCTTGAATCCAAATCAAAATGAATTTCTAAATTGTTTACATGAAATTATACGTATCTTCAAATGTTATGAACTGGTATAAAATTCATTAAGCATCGTGATAGTTTCTGGTGCGTGTCTAGACTTTTTTTTTTAAAGAGGAACCCACTGGCAAGACAACGTTAGGACTTGGACATGTAAAAAGGCTATGCATAAACATATGTGTAGCTCTACAAGGGGGCGCCCCATCCCCCATCCCCCATCCCATTCAAATCCGTCTCTGAGTTTTAATTCTGATTCAATCAGACTTTTACTTCAAAGGGACACGACATCGAGACTTACTATAGAACAACTGATATTTTGCTATATAAACGCCCAAAACAACATTCCAAAATCCCGTTAAAAAGTCATATAAGAATAAGCTAGGAGATGTTGTATGATTGCAAATGAGACATCTATCCACCAAAGTTCAAATGAAGTGGATGTAAGCAGTCATAGGCAACCGTACGGTATTCAATAATGAGAAAACCCCTTACCGTATAGTCGGATATAAAAGGTCCTGACCTCAAAAGTATGAAACAATTGAATTGAGAAAACAAACGGCCTAATTTATAACAAAACAATTTCCGAGAAACAAATACCACGGTATGACAGACATGAACCAAGGACAACCATGTACGGAACTATAGTCTCCTGACTTGGGAGAGGCACATATAGAATGTGGTAGTGCTAAACTGGTTTACTGGCGCCAAACCCTCTTCCTAACCTGGGACAGTGGTGCAAAAGTACAACATAAGAACAAACTATTAAAATCAGTCGAAAAGGGTTTAACTCATCAGATCGATACAAAACAGAAAACTATGGAAAGCCGCAGTGAACCCCCCAATTATTTTTATTTTTCCCATAAGAAATGCATTAAATATAATTATTCGGCGGCCTTAGGATTCCCGCCCGATTATTTTTGATTGTTTAAAAAAAATCTTTCGGCCTTGTGAAAAAAAGCGGGTTTTGTGTAGAAATAATCTTTCGGCCTTGTTGTAAAAAAGCGGGGTTTGTGTTGAAATAATCTTTCGGCCTTGTGTAAATAAATCTGCGGCCGCCACAAAACGAATCGAGAAAAATAATAATTTGCGGGCGGGAATGATAATAATCTGCGGGCGGGATGGATAATAATCTTCGGGCGGGAATAATTATAATCTGCCGTCGGCCGCCGAATAATTATTTTTAATGCATTTCTTATGAGAAAAATAAAGATAATCGGGGGGTTCACTGCGGCTTTCCATAGTAAACCTTTTATATTCTCTATTCTGTAAACTCCATTCAGACCCTTATATAACCCTTTTTTTAATTAACAAATTTAATATCCTTCAAATCTGTATTCCTTATTTTTTTAACCATTTTTCTCTATTCTTTATAAATTTTGCACATTATTCTCTATTCTGCACATTATTCTCTATCCTTGTTATTTTGGCCTTTTTTTTCTCTATTCATTATTGTTTTTACCCATTTTCTGTAATGTTAGCCCTTTATTCTCTATTCTGTAGATACATGTGGTAAATATACTAAACTCGAAGGAAAATGTCAAAGATAGAAAAAATCTCAATACTATCAACAAACAAAACTATAGATGATAAATAACTAGTATTCAAGAGAACTAACCATAATATATGTTCTATACTAATGTTAACGAGGCCGGGATAAGGTACCGGTATTTGATGTATCTATTAACAAATGTAAATATGTTAATAAAACTTAGTTTTAAAGGAAAAAAAAGTATTCAAGAGAATTTTGTAACGTAAAAGAGGCCTCGGTGGACGGGTTGACTATGTAGTTCAACTACAGCGATCACTAGCCTGCTAACACTGCTCGTTGCCGTTCTCTGACATCAATTGACTTGGATTTTCCACGAAATAGCACAGAGTAATAAAAGTGGCTTTAAACATCAGAAATCAAACAATCAATATAACGCATGTCAATAGTCTTTTGTGGAATACAATATATCCCTTGGTTTTATAGAGAAATAGTTCATCATTATATTTGTTTCGTAATCTCATACATCTACGCCATATATAAATTCTTTAAATTATATGAGGGGGTAGGGTCGCCATACCCCTATTTTGGGCATCAGTTCTGGACGTTCCGTAACTTTACCCACCTGGGTCTTTAGTCCAGGCAACTTTAGGCAATTGCTTACCAATTGTTGCTAGTGTGGCCAAAACCTTTGCCATAGGAATTTTTTATGAATTACAGTCGGGAGGGGTAGGGTCGCCATACCTAATCTTTGGGCCTCACTTGTGGACGTTTCGTACATTTACCCACCTCAGTTTTTTAGTCCAGGCAACCTTAGGCAATTGCCTATCAATTGTACATAGCGTGGGCAAAAGCTTTGCCGTAGGGACTTTTTTATGAATTGAAGTCGGGAGTGGTTAGGGTCGCCATACACTAACTTTGAGCCTCAGTTGTGGACGTTCCGTAAATTTACCCACCTGAGTCTTTTACTCCAGGCAACCCTAGGCAATTGCCTATCAATTGTACCTATTGTGGACAAAAGCTTTGCCGTAGGAACTTTTTTAA